CTGATCGCGTCACCATGCTCGGCCTTCCCCGCGATATCCCCTCCCTTCCCCCGCGCCTACGAATACCCCCCGCGCCCCGCTCCCCCTCGGAGGACCTACGAGTGGGCCAGAACCCCCATTACTATACTACTCATTATCTTATGCTATCACCTGTGAGGAATATCAAAGGGAAAACTCATGAGAACGGACCTTACAACGACGAGCGACACGCATCACCGCGCAGGACTGCGCGTGGAGTGGGGGAAGCGCGTCGGTAACGAGACAGGGAACGATTATTACGGCGTATCGATTTGATCGAGGATTATGTTGTCAACTTGACAATGTCAAGTATGTACAATATATAAGTTAGAAAGGCGGAAAATAAAGTAAAAGTCAGCTTCATAAGTTACGAGCTCTTTCTATTTCGATAATTTCTAACATATCAGAAGTAGGATACAGTGACACAACGCCGTGAGCCTGATAATACGACGAGAAATAACGACGGAATGGGATGCCATAAGTCGCGACGTGACGATCTGAAACGGAAGAGAAGGCATTCATCTTCCACGACATCGGACAGCGACAAGAGACATCGTAGGTCGCGAAGTGATGCCAAATATGGCGACTCGAAACGGAAAAGACGGCGTTCATTTCACTCGACTCAGGAGACGAGAGGAAACGTTGGGATGAACGTTTTGATAAGTTAGAACGCATCGTGGACAGCCTAGGCTGCGTTCCACTTAATGCTCACAACGCTCGCGAACATCGTTTATCCTTGTTTAACATTTGATAAACGCCAAGGATGAAATGATTCCATGAGCGTTGTGAGCGTTAGGTGGAACGCAGCCCTAGATAGACGATCCCATGCATGGGGTTCGTGCATCCACAAAGGGAATGAACTCATGATATCTCCGTTCGATCCGTCGAAGGATAATTTGGTAATAGAGAAGTGGATCGAGCACGTGGACGAATTAGCAGCACAGTACGATTGGAACGATAAAGCCATCATGAGACTGATACCATCGCGCTTGAAGAGGCATGCGCGGTTGCGGTATGACACACGACAACGGTTGGCGGTTACGTGGATCGAGACAAAGGAATCGTTGTGACAACAGTTCCGCAAGGAAATACCTTTTAGTAGGTTATTTAGAGAGGCCGCGCTGTACGAAAGCAGTCCCGGACAATCTTTAGAAGATTACTGCTTCCAAAAATTGAACAAGTTACGTAATGCGGGTTCTACAATAGAAGTCGTAGCGATCGTAGGGTCTTAAGTCGTAGAAAATTGATCAATCACAGTTGATTATTCTTCTCATATTCGACTGTGATTGGTCAATTTTCTACGACTTAAGACCCTACGACTGCTACGACTTCTATTGTAGACCCCGCATAAGTTAGATATTAGCATTGCGGATAAATATCTTGTCGACGCGGTGATTGGCGGAATCGTGGATGCGCATGTCGCGAGGACAGTACCAAGAAGACTAGAACCAGGAGAGTCAACTCGCGTGGTGGGGG